ACTCACATGTCCTGAAATACGAAGTTGAGACCCAGTAGCACCCCTTCCCTATTCTTTCACTCGCCTGCATGAACCAACCTTTCCAGCGTGCCCAAAACCAATACAGCTTTAGGAGATCGCTCATTCTCTCCATCAAATCTGTTCTTTCAACGAATGCAGGACAACACTTGCAGGCTTTTGCAAGACCATGGGCTCAAAGAAGTTCAAAGAAGCAGAAAATCCTGTTAAGGGAGCAGCAGTGGAAGAAATTAAAAGAAACCTCACCTAGGCCTCAGTAATACTGTCCAGACAAACATTTTGAAGAAAACAACAGACTGTCTGGCCATAGGTCATCCTGTACCAGCAGCAATTGCTGGTTTCCAAGTTACGGACCATAAGAAAAGTCTTACAATGGCTACTCCAAGAAGAATCCACCTAGTTATGGGGCAGGATAAAGAAAGTACACCCTGGTTTTGAGCAGCAATATTGGACACAAGGAACTTCAGGATATTTAAACCGAGCTTCTGTATATCTTTAGTCAAGTTGCAAAATACATCCCAGGAGAGAGAAGTGTTAGGAAGAAGATACAACATGAAGTTTTCTTGTGCACTTCATTGTCTTACAAATTTAAGTGATACTGCGAAATTACTTTTTACACTGACTCTTAAATACAATAAACAAAATCCTTTTTACCTTTTTATATTAGAGTATTTGAACTGTAAACACTTTTTCTGCAATACTAATGCTATATTCATATCTCAAGCATATAGGTGTTTCCATAAATAAAACTACAGTAAAATGAAGAATAAAATTCTCAAAAATCACTCCTTACTCCAACTTGTCTATGCAATACTGCAACTAAAAAACTTAAGAGGTTATGTGGCATAGCAGGCTGAGTGACACTATTATCATGTAAAAAAACTATTTGGTGCTGTACTCTTGGAAAACCCCTACATGCACAAGGCAAAGGTGGTCTTCTAGTGAATCTCACCACAAATACATGTCGTAAGATCAAGCAACGTCTTCATAAATGGTTCAGATGTATGTAAGTGTTAGCGTGACCTAAGAGGCATTATGTTTGAGCTTGAATTGAAAATAAACCTGTTATGTTTTTGCATTCTGTTTCATTGACCAAACAATACAAATTCCTCTTCACAAAGCTACTGTATTTTCCCTACAAAATATGTGGGTTATTCCTACCCTTCCCTCCTCCTCAGCAGCTGGGTGCAGAAGTTATTCAGGATAGCAAAGGGCTGCCCATCTACAGCAGGCTCACTGCCTCTGACATTATTCCCTCTCTACCCCAGCAGCCAGGTTTGAGCCTCCATTTTAAGCAAGTTGAGCGAGTGCACAGGGTACCTGGAGCTGTATTCAAGTAGCAGAACTCTCAGTAGGATGCAGGCTACTGAAGACACGAGTTGCAAGTACAAACACAATGTGTAAGCTAACAAAGGTTTAAGACGCCAGGAGTACATCAATGCTTTAGGGTCTTTTTGTGCTTGGAGACGAGGAGGCTCCATACATGACGTAAAAGTAGGTTTTCAGTCCCCCCCCAAACATCTACGTGTCTTTGCCCTCAAAACCTGGCAGCAGTAGCTCCTCCCTGCAGGAACACTTAACAAGGCTTGTAGCCCAGCAGGCATCTGCTCCCTGGACAGCAACACATCCTGAACAGCACAGATGCAAGAAAGACTCAGGGATATTTTGATTGGCTAGGACCTTGAAGGCTAAAGCAAGCCTTTTCTGTAAGCACAGACAGCCCTGGTTTATTTTGGTGCCTAGCAGAAGAATTCTTGTTTAATTAGATCCCATTTTTCAGATCAAGGAAGACATTTCTGTAGCTTTCGTTTTACAGGTCAAGCTGATCCAGTCAAATATGTCACTTCTTACAATGGGAGGATAAGGAGGCACCCCGGAGAGCTTAGGAACTAAAGAAAACTACTTTTTCCACATAACAGGGTCAAGGATACCAAACTACATACACCCTTTATGCAACCCAACACTTGGTGTTCACTTACATGCACACAACAGCCCAACTAGCGGGCAGCCATGTTAAAGCCTCTCCACAGGGCATGAACGTGGTCCCTACTCCTCATCTCAAAGACTCCCTTTCTTTCACAAGCTCTCTCTAACGCCACATGCTCTATTTCTGTCTCAAGATGGCAAGGGGAGAAAAAAAAATATCCCAAGGGTGTAGAGAGAACAGTTTATACACTATTGTCCCCTACCCAGCAGGATCTCAGGGAATATCCTCTCCTCACCCTACACAACACTGCAGAACACAGGCACCTGCAATTATACACATGTATAGAGGCACAGACTCACATAACCCCTCAAAGTAAAGAGTGACCCAATGCACCGTCACGCCCACAGAACATCCGTAGCACACGAAGACAGAGCCTGCAACAGCTTCCCACTTTCAAGATGTTAGGCTGGTACAAACAGAAGCACTACAAATACATTTCCACATTTTTGTTTCAAACAGAAAACAAATATCTGGCTCAGTCCTGAAAATGTGTAAGAATCCCTTTAGTGCTACTGAAGGCATGAGTTCAAAAGACACAAAAAACCCCTTTCCAGCTTCATTAATTATAAAGCTTCCAGGGCCAGGTGATTATTCCAAGGGTTGTTTGACACTGCAAAGGCAGAGAAGAATGCCTGAGAAACCCTGCAGCCCCAGATAAAAGCACCTCAGAAGTCTGTACTTGCTGTGACATCTCCCTCCAGGATAAACAAGTCTTTTTCTCCTCCCCCTCACAAAAAAATGCACATTCTTCAGCACAGTCGAGACTCTAACACCAGGAGAACATCTCTGAAACAGACTTCTCTGTTATCTCAGGACTACCAGCTCTCCCATTTCAGTCAGAGTTCTCCCTTGGCAGGCCTTAGGACTGAACAGTTTTGTAACCCCTACACCAACAAGAGGTGCAATTCCTTTGCATCATGAATTCAGATCACTCAGTTTTGCAAACATCTTGTTTCTCAGCAAAGGTCAGTTAAGTACGTGTAGAACAAGTTTTTATCTCTAGCAAGTGTATCTCTGCACTTCCATCTACTCACCAGCTAGCTTCCACGCCCATGGAACAAACACAGTTGTTATACAATCAGATGCTCTGCTATTTCCATGCTGGCTGTGAGAAAGGCACATGCTGAAAAATGAGCAGGAAACTCTTCAACTCATCATACTGCCTTGCTCAACCTCTGTCCTCCTCTCCTGTTGTCCATGCACTGCAACTCCAGAAACATCAGGCACCCGAGAGTTTGCAGCACTGTACAGCTGCAAAGAGAAAAAGTGGGGAAGACAGAGCACGTACACCAGCACAGAGGAGTAATTCGGCAATTTCCTGTTGCAAATTTTACTCTTGAGATCACTTTAGATCAAATTTTTACAACATACTCCCTGAATGAAGCTGCTTATTACATGTATCAGAAGTTGATAAATATTGTTAATTAGCAGCTATAATCCTACAGACAGATTTTCTTAGGTTTCGTTCTTCACTTCCGCCAGCATGAACTGCCAAGCGTCTCCAAAGGAAAGGGATATGGAAGCAAACATCGCTAATGAGCCAAAATGTCTTCTAGACTTCTGAAAACATGTGGTACATGATGCAATGCACAGCAACTTAACAAATACTCAGGAAATATAATATGGTTTGCAAGGTATCATTTTAAAAAATGGTATTACAGTCACCACTGAAGGACATGAGGAATCCCTAAGAGTTCTGGGCATACTGCACACTCAGTGGATCTATAGATTCATCCAGGAAGAGGAAACAACAGTTTGTTCTATTTCACTCTTCAGGTTTTGTCAAAATGCCCCATGACCAACAAGTCCTTACTTGAGATCTGGATAGTTAAGGTGGACATGCAAAAAGGCTCACCTGTGGACAGCTCTGAACAGGAACCAAGGCCAGTGCTGACTATGTGCAAAACACACGACCATAGGTTATTCCCCAGCTGTGGGCAGTTCAACACCTCATTACAAAGCCTGCACAATGAGAATCCAAAATGGATTTGAAGATTTTATCCTTGTTCAAAGAACTACAGAAGAAATCGAAACTAAAAGGACTTGTTGATTCAAATATTTCTGAACTCTGGAATGCAGAATGGCTTGACCAAGTGCAGTCCCGTTTTATGGCGTGACGAAGAGGCTGCAGTCTCCAGACAGGCATCACCTTTGATGAACTCATCTGCCTAATCCGATGGTTAGTTTTTGCATGCACATGTTGCTTTTGAATTTCTGTTTCTTGACAGCATTAAGCTGCTCTGAGACAAGGTGAAGCTGATTGAAAGGAACAGGAAGCTTACAGACATGGACAAGGGATGTCTGCATCCCTAGGTTTGCCTGTACAAAGGTAGTGAAGGCTCAGCCACAGAACTGCAAAGTGCTCCTGGAAGAAAAACGAATCCGTAGAAAACAGGTTCTGTTCACCCGTTAACAGCTTACTTTCCTTGAGGAAGGACTGAATATATTCCTCAGAACAGGTCACAGATGTATTTTAACACAGCAGTTCAACTTGGCTGGAGAGCATCCAAGACTGCCCAGATTCAAAACAGGCTGATACCAGCTTACACAGCAGTTGCAATTACATCTGCCATACAGATGAATCTCACTTGTTTGGGGGCTCTTCTCCCATTCAATTTCATTTCCAGTTCCAACTACTCTCTTTTAAAAGAGCTGTGACCACAATCAGAATTCAGCCACTCATTTCTCAACTATTTTCCAGTACTTCAAGCAACATGCAAGGCAAGATAAAGACACCAGATACTACACAAACAGTAAAGGGCAGAAGCTGCAAGAACCAGAAAACATTAAGAAATTCTACTGAGGGGAAACTGACTGGAGGAAATACTGGTAGCCTGAAGGAAAGAGGAATTACATTCCTTGTTCCTTGAAAAACATCGCTACTCTGGGAGGGAAACAATGGAAAAGGTGTTAAGCAAAGTTCCTGATGAGAAGGCAAGATAAGCCACAAGATATTTACTCTGTATATTTGTATGAACAAGGAAAGAGGTGGTTTTCCATTCTGTTTTATTTCAATGCTTTTACATGTATAAAATACACTTAAAATACTTTACATTAAAATTAGTAAATTGTTTGCTCCTAAAAAACACCATAATGTCTTTGTGAGTGCACAAACATGCACCTCTGATGCAGGTTTCTGACCTAGAGCAAGTTGATTAAAGTGTTTGTGGTGTAATAACCTCCATCAGATCAAACATATCAGAGAGGAGTTTTCTTTCCTCAATATCCATCCTGCTGATTCAGCTCAAACTGGGAGATAACAGCCTCTCACTCAAGTGCCAATGTCCATTGGTTTATAGGTACCTCCGCAGTCACAGTTTGGAACCACACAAGTAAACCAGCATTCAAATTCTGTAAGAAACATTATTCCTGGTGTCCAAATTGTCTCACTATCTTTTCACTCTCTTTTTTCAGTTCCTCAATGTGAGCATTTAGGCACTCCAGGATGTGCTGGGACCTCAGTTCCTCTTCTTCCAGGTACCTCGCAGCTATCGATCCAACTGAAGCTGTAGGGAAGGGACACTAAAGAGAAACAAAGGGATATCAGGTATTTTTTTCATTCTGAGTTTTGGCCAGAACCACTACAGATCCACAAGCCATGCAACTAAATATGCTTCTAAAAGGCTCTTGTGTCATTTCCATCCTATTGGACAGACTAAGCACTCGGGTCTTACCCTTATGTCACAGGTAAATGTCTCTCCTGGCTGTCTCCAACCAACAGTGAAAACTTCCCATGCCTTTGCCAAAACCACGGGGAGTAAAATCAGTACCTCAGCACATATAACTTTACAGAGGGGAGCTACTGGAATGGCAAAGAGCTGGGAGGCCAGGGCTGAACAGAAGTAAGCTCTCCATGTGCCTATGTAACTGTTGCACTCCACACATAGAACCCTGACCCCAGAGTTATCGATAGGAATTGACAGTTTACTTGGGGAACTGGAGCTTCACTTCAATTACCAGCCCCTCAGCTTAAAATAATGAGAGGGAATGACACAGCACATGTAATCACAGCGTAACTCCAGACAAGGTCACTACAAAATACCAGGGGTTTTGTCCTGGGTGTGCTAGTGCAGCCTCATACTTAAGGTCTACATCCTGCTCCTTGTCTTCATAAAAACCTCAGTGAGCAGTATAGGGGTTCCAGGGAAAGGAAAGAACTGGCAGACTGGACCAGCACTGGGGATATCTCTGCTTTCTTTTACATAGCTCTTCTCCTTTCCTGAAATAATGGGGGTTCCTGGTACAATCCCACAGGGGAAGTACAGACCACACTCCCATCGCAGCTCACTGAACACCAGTTCAGCTACCAGTGGTCAATAAACTAGCCCAGATACTTTCCTTTACAGTCAAGAACTATTCCTGCTACTCACACCACTCACCCACAAGTTCATAACTACAAAAATTACATTGTAAACTAGGCTTAATTTATAACTTAATGAAGAGACGCTTCCTGTACAAGCGCTGGCAGGTGAATTATAAACTAACGAAGGGGCTGCCTTTCATTACAGAAAATTTGTCTCAGTGTCTTGGCAAGAGAAAACAACTGGTTATTTCCAAATCCTGAAGTCTCATGGTTTTCTGGTCTTTTATCAACAGCCAGAAACAAAGGGAAGCAGGAAAAAAAAAGACTGCAGATAACAAGCAAATGTCTCACACCCCACTATTGCCTACTGATGAGAATTCTTCTCTCTTAAAGGAACTGATTTAATGACACTGGAGCCTGACCATGAGCAAGGAGTTCCAGTCAACACCAGGGGAAATACTTGCATTTCCTTAGAAACCTTATTTCTACCTCTCAGAACAAAAAGCAGCACATTCTATACTACTAGACACCAAGGTCTAGAGCTTCTCAGACCCTGAAGTGCAACTGTTCACACTTCAGTTCCAATCCTGCATCTTGAAGAGTTTCCATTTAGAATATGACAGTTCCCTGAGCTCCCAACATTTGTTTCCTGGACATGTCCACAAGATACTCCGGTCTTGAAACCATCAAGACCTATTCTTGATAGTAAACCTAGTCAAGACCTACAAAGCTGACAAGCATCTGCTTATCTGTGCATCTAGAGACTCTTCTCTGGGCTCTCCACAAAGCAAAAATAGCTGTTGTCACTGTTAACAACACACAACCAGAGGGAAAAATACTCCGAAGGCTGCTAGAGGCAACATGTCTGGAGGAAGGACCAGTAATCAGGATTCTCCCCTCCCTGCACTACTTACAGCCCTGTCTGACCCAGGGTATAACAATCGTGTCCATCTTCCATTCCCCTCCCTGCTCAAGTCAGTCTACAGCCTGGTCATTACAGTGGGTACTGGGGGAGATGGTCTTAAAAGGAAGAAGCAATTGAGTCCAAGTCTCCTGTATCCTGGGCAAGTGCTTCAGGAACTGAGCTGAAGTAGAAGGACAGAGCAGGTGCCAACACTGTTCCTTACTAAAAAAGTATGGTCAATGACTGGGAAAAATAACAGCCTGCCCTTGTGCAGTGAAGAACCAATTTCAGGCCTTCCTAAGGGGCTTTAAGTTCTGACTACTGCAGATCCATTCAGAGGGGTCAAACTCAGCCTGTGCATTACAGTGAAGGTAGATGTGCAGCACCAGCTTTCAGATCCAGCCAGAGGCTGTACACTGAAATACTCAGCGCTCTACATCCACTCTGAGCCTCCACTACAGACCCAAGCCAGAAGCTGAAGCAGAATTCTGAAGTGACATAAGCAGGTCATGGTACACACTGATGTACAGACCACTATAGAGAACCATGAGCTTCCAGAATTAGCTTAGCAATTATACCAAACATAAAGCTCTTTCCCAGAGTTCTGAAGAATAACCACATGGCTCCCATTGTCCAAGTATTAAACATCCAGCAGTGTTTTTCCCTCCCTGTTTAACATTTGATGTGTACTTACAGAACCATACACACCATGCAGCCAGATCCTACATTCAAAAATCTGGCTCCTTTTTTCAGATGAGAACACAGCTATACCCTCAGCTGTTGAATAGCAGCCAGCTTCTATACCACTGCTTACCAAAGGCACAGATTCCCTCTGATGATCTGAGACGGACTGCTTAGATGCTTCATCTGCAAAATCTTGGTTTCCATCCAGCACATGGAGCAAAGGATCCGTTCCCAGCCAGGTCCCCAAAGCAAGTGACTCCATGGAGTTATTCTTGCTACTCTGGGTGGGCAGCTCACCCGTCTCAGGGGTCACGGTTCCTATTTCAGCAGCCCCACATCTCCGGGGCTCCCCTTGATGATGCTGAACAGTCCAGTCAGCCCTGTGATGTATTCTCTCTGCTTGTTCATCATGTTTGTGCTGTGCTTCCCGAGTTGTCCTGGAAAGCAGGTTTGAAACATAACTGTTTGACAGTTTGCCTCTTGGCAGCTGAACTTTAGAGAAAACTTGAGCAGAGATAACAATTAACATACAGGTTACTAACAGCCCTGGCAATCCAAACTGGCTCGTTTCTGTAACACTTCCAGATGCACATCTAGTCTCTAGGGAATTCTCTTCTGCCACTGTAGATACCAAAAACTACAGTCTGCACATCCCAGCACTGCACAGCCACCTGGGCCAAATCTAATCCCTTCACCAAAAAGAACACGTACTGCTTCTCAATCAAAGGAAAAAGCAAAGGCAGTCAAAAGACAGTCAAATACTAGCTGGCTTTGCAGAAAGCAAACCAGCTGGGACTAAAAGCTATTGCACTACTTACAGCAAAAAGACAGATTCCAAAACAGTCCTTGTGTTCTCCCATACATACTATGTGCTGGAGACAGATTACTAGACATAAAGCACATCATTAAAAACCCACACATCCCCACGCCTTCTGTTCTTCATAATAAGGAAGCAGCATTCTTGGGGTCACGCAACACTCACCTGTACTGCACATCCCTGGCCCCAGGCTTTTCGTCCTGCATCTGCTGAGCGCTGCCCTCAGGCCCACCCTGGCAGACCTGTCCAGTGAGTTCCAGTTTTGCTCTGGCCTCTGCTAGATCCCTCCACAATTTCTGGTTCTCAGATTTTAATTTATCTAGTTCAACAGCATAGTCTTCACTGAGTTCTCTTAGGGTCCCATCTTTTTCCTAACAGACAGAAGGGCTGAAGTCAAAAATTCTGATTCGCAAGACACCACAGTCAAATCCAGAGCAAAGGCCAGCAAGCATTTCCTTAAGGTGTATCCCTCTAATCTCAATTTTGACTGGCAAAATTTTCAAGGCTTTTGTAAGTGCAAATCAATTATACATGCTTTATTGTGTCTGCATCCAGACAAGCTGTGTTCATCTGCCTAGGAAAAGAAGTCTCTCTCACCACTGGATGCTTCTGAAAACAGGAAAATACAGACCGAGAATAGTTGAGATAGATCTGCCTCTGGCCTTGGGATAATGAGAAGGACTGCTTGACCTCGAGCTCTCCTCCAGCTGTATATTTTAGGATTCCCTCACTTCACTAGGATGCAAGCCTCTCAGCCAAAGCTGGAAACACTCAGGTGGCAGCCCCATAAACTGTCTCAGCAATTCTCCAGGTACAAAAGCAGCAGGATCTGCCAGATACTTCCTACAGGTGTGAAGCGACACATACCCCAGTGGTTTGCTGTTGATGAGAAGGAACAACTCTCTGAGAATCTACCTTCACTGTGATCTACCAGCAAAGCTGCTTTTAAGAACACTTCTAGATCCCCTCACCCAAATTAGCAAAGGCAGTAATTACATAAGTCTGTGCATACACATGGGATGACCAATAGCCCTTCAGAAACTTTCACTGGTAAAAGTTAGTATTTTTTTTCTTTTTGAAACTGAACGACTTGCTCCTCCCTATCTTTTATATCCACCTAGGCTAGTAAGGAATTTCCCTTGTTTATACTTCTGTGACATTTCCACTTTCTTTTTGCTAATTCTATTAAATTTAGATTGCTTAATTCATTCTCATCACTGCTGTATCTAAGGTCTTTCCAAACGTGCATGAGAAGAACCTGGCCAAGACAGGAAGCTCCTGTGCCATGGGGGCTGTGGGGCTTTTTTTTTTAAAAAAAAAAAAAATAATAAAAAAAAAATCCCCCCCAAAAAACCCAAAACAGAACAGGTTTATTGCTTTGCACTTTGCTATTAAGTTTTTGGTAAGGCAAGCCAGCAAAAGCCCACCAGGCACTTAAAGCAGAAAGTAAAGGGCCTTAGGTCATTCCAGTCTCAAACCACCCCTCCAGAAAGCTTTGGTTTTTCTTCATCTCACCAGTCACGAGCTTCTGTTCAATACTTTCCCAAGAACTTGGCACATCTGACAATCACCCCAAACTTATATTAAGAGCAGAGTATTTCCTTCCCACAGATCTGACAGGATAAAAGCTCTGATAATATATTACTATTAGGTTTTCAGCTGTCTGAATCCAGTCCTTGCTCCCTGTGAGGCATCCATTCCAGTTTATGTAAGACAGAACTTGCACAGTAGCCATTTCTTCCTTCATACAGGCACTAAAACGAAACCACCTTCAAGGTGTTATTCCTGCCAAGACAGTACCTCTTCCACAGAGGCTCCCCTTCTCCCTCCCCTCTGGACAAGGTGGCCTCAGCTGGCCTCAAGAGTGCCACACCAGCAGGAGCCCACCACCGTGCCCCTTCCCGGCGCGTTGCCCCAGGGCATCCAGCCAATACTCCCAGGCAGCCTGTGGGGTGCAAGGGACAGCACTGCTGAGCGGCTCCTCACCAGGAGGGCAACATGCTCCCAAGCCCAGCAAGTGCAAGGACCAGAGCAGTTACAGCTCTGAGACAGATCAAAAGGACATCACGGCTTCAGAATCAGAGGTTTGAGGTAAACCAGAATAAAAATGCAAATGTAACAAAATGTACTAAAAAACATGGGCCAGACCCCATGGAGAAGGAACCAAGATGATGGTTCTGTTTCTGCAGTTCCCATTACTCTCTGATCGAACAAGATGTTCAGTATTTCTGCGACTTATTTCCTCACAAACTGCCTCTTTTGCTTGGGTTTTCAGTTCACTGAACTCTTATCAAGCATTTGGAGAGGCCTGGGCAAAGACTAGCTCTGTTCCCAGGCAGGGGACACATGATGCTAGCCCCTTCCCTCCTCTGGTCCCTAACGCATACCTCTAGCATACCACATTTCATTTTTTCCAGCATCTCTGAAAGATAACGATTTTCCAGCCTCAAGGTTTCCAGCTGGACCAGAATTACCTGAGGAGACAGAGGCAAACAACAAGCTTAGCTAAAAAGAACACAACACATGTCCACAACACCCTACAGGCATTTTCCACCCTCAATTCAAGCACAAGTACAAAGCAGGTTTTGGGCCATTAGTTCTGCAGGGACCCTATAGAGAAGACCATACAAATAACCATGCACATTTATTTACTTTACTTTTCAAAGATGTCATCATCCAGGCCTAGTTAGCATGAGTGATCTCAAAGAATTCTGTGGGACTGTCAGTTACTGGTTTGAAAGGAAGCAGCAAGACAGATTCAGTGAACACCATAAATGAGAAGATTTCATCAGAAGGGTCTCAAAGTCTTTGTTCAAAGGCTGAAGAGAGAAGGAAACTATTAACATCGCTAAAAACTAGGATGGTATTCCAAGCCTTCAGATCCCTTAAAGAGACAGCGTAAGAGTCTTTTGCCTTTTTTACCCTGTGCTCCACTGCTTTCCTCTCTGCTCTTTCAATCTCTGTTCTCAGCTGTTGTTCTAGGTCTGATGTGGAGCCACTTGCAGATGCAATTGTGATGTCCCGCTGCTGTAACTCTTGTGTCAACCTGGAGATTTCCCTTTTCATCACTTCTAGCTCACTGCTGTGAGTTTGTTCAGCTTGAGAGAGCTGCTCTTTCAGCTGGAAGAAGATATGCACACACCACCCACGAGCTTTTAAAAGATGTTTCAGCAAAAAAGCAAAAGTATTGTACATGGTAATGTGAAATTTAAATACTGGAAAACAAAAAGCTCTACGTAACAAGCCCTCTGTGCATGCTTGTCCTTCCTGATTGAAACCACCTCATCCCAAACCTTTTCCACACCATAAACTGCCAACTGGAACATGCTGTGGAAAACCCCCAAATTGATCAAATCACAGTCTCTTTAGCTCACCATTCTGGCTCTGTGGCCAACAATAGATACCCAAAGGTTTACCATTGCCAGGCAAGCACAGTATCACTTTCATAACATAACCCTGCAATGTGCCACTCCGCCTTCCTGAGGCAGAGATGGTATCTTTAAATAGCTCTACCCAGGCTTTTCTTCCATGAATTTGTCCTAAGTCTTTTGAATTGATATTCGCTTGTAGCAACTAAAGCTACCCATGGCAAACTTCCACAAGCTGGCTATGCACAGGGTAAAAATATACCTCTTTGTTCTCATAACTCCATTTGATGACCATTGGTCCCTGCGTTATGAGAGAATAATCATTCCCTATTTACTTTCCACATGACAGGCATGATTTTATTTTTAGTATGTTCAATCTCAATTATCTCTTTTCCAGTTTAGTAAGTCCTATCCCATTCAGCTGTTCCTTGTATAAAAAACACTCCATCCTTTTGGTTATTTTCCACACCTTATTTTATTCAGCCCTTTTTGAGATCGCAGACCTGCACTGCATATAATATTCTGGTAGGCACACCTATACTTATTCAGTGACATAACAGAACAACAACATAGCATAATTTCTTCCCTAGTATTCCATTCCATTAGCCAGAAATATTAACCACCCAAACCTCCAGGATTTTTCTGAGAATTATAAGCATTTTAGAAAATTGAACCAGATGATCTCTGCCTAGCCATGTAAATATTATACATATGGTGATTTATCTCCATGTCACCTCAACGCCTCCCAAGTATATAAAATAGAAACAACCATAATAAATCTCTCTTTCCTCCCCAGCAGCCTGTAGGAGATTCATTTATTGTGTGGCTGTTTAAATGCGTAACCAAGCACACATCTCTGGCAAGATCTGCATCTCTGTACATTCAGAATAAAGGATGAAAGATTTACACAGAAGTGAGGTTCTTCACTCAAGTCCAATAAGGTTTCTGCTTTAACCAGGCTCCAGTGAAAGCCCTCACACTAACTGATCTAGACCATTACTAAAAGTCAAGCCTTTTTTGGGGGCTTGCCTCCCTTGGGTGCACAAAGCACTAGGGTGAGGTCCTTGTGGCAGATGAGCTGTTCCATTTCTTCCAGCCCCTGAGTTCATGTCTAGGTATCAAGCCTGAAACAAGCTCCCTTATTCATGTACAGCCTGGAACACATCTGAAGCCCTGTCTCAAGTGTGACAAGGCATATTACAGCAAAACCCATTCCTCCCTGCTCTTCATCCTGTTGAGAGCCTGTATTATGCTTAAACTCAGGATTTCAGGCCTTAATTTCTTTGCATATTTGCCCCTCCAACACTATTTCAAGTATCTGCACACTGTAGAGAAGAGCTAGGCCTAAGAGACGCTCACAAAGGAAGCCACACAGCCACATACAGAAACCTGAAAACCTATCCTCCCAACTGCTCCTTTATCAAATCTGCTCCTTCCCCTCAGCCTATCACTGCCTCCGCACCACTCCCGCACTCTGGTCCCATTTGGAGCTTTGCTAACTGTGCACTGCTGAGGCACAACACACACAGGAATAGCTGACTCCACAAGTGCCTTTCCCACTCTCCAGGAACAAAGCAACATTACCTTTTTAATCTCTGCCTTTGATTCAGTATGGTGTTCTTCCATTGACTGCAGGTCTTTGATATTCTCATCCAGCTCTTCACTCAGCTGTACACACCTTGCATTTGAAGACACCAGGCTGGGTGCCAAATGTAAAACTACAGATTAGAATACCCCAAGGAGGACATGGTCAAAGCAACTTTGATCTTCCAAGCAGTCTCCTATGTCCGTCATAACAGAAACCGGACTCTTAACCTAGAAGTTCCTTACCAATCCTTTGCTTCGTTAACCAAAATCATTTCAAAAGAGATCAGGAAGCTGATACAATAGATAACAACTGTTTCTTGTTTGTTTCTTTATCATACTAAGATTACAAACTTCCCATGCAAACACTAGTCTGAAAACCACAAACGCAGAGGGGAAGACTTGTTTATAATTCTTATTTCACAGGAAGGTCTAGATCTGGTTCTTACCAGCTGACTAACAAAGACTCCTTAACCTATTATGAATGAAGGTGCTAAGCCTAAGCAAGCTAAAACACTGAAAACACCCACAGTGTGCAGTGAAAAACAGCCAACCAACAAGCAAAAGAGTCTCACTATTAAACTGCAAAATGAATAGCATTTGATTTCTTTAGACCTTTGATATTTAAAATAAGCCTACAAAAATCAGTGGGACTGGTTAACTTGATGAATACAATATATTAGGTATTATATTATTATCCAAGTTTCATTGCACATCCAGGGGAAACAAGCAGTTGCTACCTGTTCTCAGGATGAGTCACCTCTGACTGTAAGTGCTGTTCCTTCTTCTGGGCAACATCCAGCTGCAGTAATATATGCTCCAGCTCCAGCCCTGGAGAAGACAACTGTTTCTCTTGCAAGCGGTCCTCCAAGGCCCTAAGGAGAAACATGAACTTTAATCTCGGCACAGAAAAGTCATGTCCAAGTTCACTAATACAGAGAACATAACCACCATTTTCTTAGAATTCTCTGAAAACTACACAAAACCCAACAGTAGGCGACACCTGTGTGCACTGTGAAAAAGCAAACATACCAGCTGGATGACAGCCCCCTGTCTGAGTTCAGGCTGATTAAAAAAGACTCCATCCTATTTTTGACGTTGCCCTCCCTGACCCACAGTCTCCCTGCTATTAGCAGACATGCAGCTTGTAAGAAACAGTGTGGCTGTTAGGTTAACATACACCAAAACCTTTTGACACAACCATCAGAACCCTATAGTTTTTGCATGTTGCCAGTGCAGAAGGGGAAGGCCAAGGTGACTTTGTCACCTTACCAAGACCCTAATCTGACATCAATAAATTGGTGAGAACTTTCACCTACGTTAACAAGCACGTTATCAAATCCTGAAAAGCCTCCAGCACTTGACCAAAAATGACAGGGTGGGGGGGGGAACCCAACTCAAAAGCCCTGTGCTTCTCCTAGCTGAGTAGAAAGCTGATTCCTTCCACACTCTTCACTGAGTATCAGTTGATTTCAAAAGCAATGCAATTTGGCAAATGCTGCAAGAAAGCACAGCACTTGTGAGAAACTATGGTGTGCCATTCTAAATATCAACCAATACAGATCCAAATGCACAAAAATGCTTCTACCGCCCTCAGTGGGAGAACCTGGAATATAGATCTGGATTCAAGAGCATAAGTACCAGTGAGGCACAAATGCTACCTGATGAGGAGCTCTTTTGTGCGAAGAGTTTCAGTCACCCTGGCCAGCTCTTTCTGTAACCGTTCCTGGTGCAACTTGGAGCTGTCAATGAAATCTTCCTGAGACTGCAAGGTGGCTCTAAGTTCCATCTTCTCATCCTGTAGCACCTGCACAGGAGGGAGTAAGAATGACTGTTGCAAGATGGACCAAATCAGTTTGCTGTAACATGACAAGAGGTTGATCAGATTTTTAAGGAACTCTTGGCAATACTGCAGAGCACCACATGGGTACAAAGCCAGCTTTGCGACCGATCAGGAACTTTACAGAGGCTCTAGAAGAGATGGGAGCTCTGGAATGAAGAGTCTTCCTACTACTTCTCAAAGGCACTGCTTCATATTCAGTTTCCTAACAGTTCCTCCACTGACCTCTAACATTTTCTTGGATTGCCTTAATTCTTCTTGAACTCTTTGCTGATCTTCCAGAATCATCTGATTGTTTTCAGTCAGGTCATCCACCCTCATGTTAAGCCTCTCCACCTCCATCTCATTGGCACAGATAGCATCATTGGCCCTCTCCAGCTTGCTGGTTAAGTGTTGGATTTCTGATCGGCTGGCCAGTTCCACTGACTCCAGAATCTGCTTCCGACTGGCAAGCTGAGTCTGCTAAGAACAATTGGTTTGCATTAAAGCTGAATTATAGAAAACACAGTGTATCAAAACTACATTCAAAATCACTACTGATTTCTTTGTGTAACAAGCCACATTCTCAAAGTAAGCAACACTACAGTTCAGGTAATTAGGGAAAATATTGTTCCAGGGCTACACGATGGGTATAACTTCTGAAGGGAAACAGAATAAAATAAAATAAGGGGGCCCTCTGATTTCAAAGGGGGTTCAAAGAGAATTCGTGAAAAGCAGATCTCAAATCACTCAAGTTGTCCGAGTATGAACTGTCTAAGAACAAAGCTGCCTACTATTTTTTGCTCATTAACCTAAGGCTAGACCAGCAGAAACAGCAGCATGTAAGAAGGTTTGTGAATACCATACACAAGCTAAAGATTACCCAATCATTAATTCCACACCAGGATAGAAAGCAGCACTTAGTGCACAATAAAAAAAACCCACAACCATCAAACAGATCAAAAACTGAACGGGTGTAACAGTCAATTATGTTTTGCTTTATGCAGTAAATATCTGGTTCTAACAGCTTGTGAGAATGCTCACTTTGAATGTTTCATTGTTTTAATGGCAGACAAAAAAGTTATAAGAACATATGACTAGCAAACAATACATGCGCTATTATTTGTAGCACAATAGTTTATTTCACAGCATTTCTTTCCACCTAGTTAGCTGGTGAAATTTAACAAGCCAGCTCTCATATAAGCTTCTAAGAATATTTGCTTCATATATTCCCTTTTTGTATAGTACCTTACAATTTTTAAGGGCTGAAACAAAATATTTGAGTAGTCTTTTACTCCCAGTTTCTAAGAGTAGCAATTCCTGCCAGCTTCAGAATCACCACATGCCTTGATTTATTGCCTGACACATAATGCCTCATAACTGAGAAAACTATTGGAACTGTGCATTTGGAAGACTATGGTATAATTTTGATTACAGCCTTTTCGTTATTTGAATAGTCATGACAGAAAATGTAATCAGGAGGGGCAAGAGTTTAAAGTACAGCCTTTCTCCACCCACAAAACTGGAGTACCAGACTACCTGAATATTTATTTCTGCATTAAGAAAACGTTTAACCTATCTCTTCTTTCCAGCCTCCAAACACGCAGGACAGCAATGAATTCCAAGTTTCACCTGTTGACTTTAAAGGCTGCAGGTGTTATAGGAAGGTGCTCATCACTGGGTAAGAATGCCAAGCTTCCCTAAACTGCACTGAAAGATATGAGGGGAAACCAGCTGGAAGAAGAGAAAGGGGAAGTACTTCATGGTCACAGCTCTCATCTTGACCTTGTGCCAGAAAAACATCCAAGCATACAAAATACATAGAAACATCCAAGGCAAAAATTTAGCACTTTCATGCTGGGCTTTTCAAATAAATTGAGGATTCAGGCAGCCTGTTCACAGTATCTACGCACCTAGGTCATTTACACTGCTCAGGAAAAATCTCCCCAAATTCTTGGTTTTCTGCTGCACAGTAAGAAGAGTTCCTCTGCACTCCAAAATACCAGCCTGCACTCCAAGGACACATCTGTTCTCAGACAATTGAGCTATCAATGATACAAAGACAGCAGAGCAGCAAGACCTTCTGCTCAACGACTCTCTGCATTTGTAGATCTACTAGTGTCAGCCTCTCACACAGCCCCTGTCAGAGCCAGCTTCAATCTTGTCATCACAAACTTCCTCCTTGCAGGAGCTTCCACTCAAGAGCAACTCAGGAGCCCATTAAGTGTAAAGCCCCCAGCAAGAGCTTCTTATCAGTGTCTGCTGTGATTGTGTCAGTGTGACTTCACAGCTGTGCTCTAGGTCAATTCATCTTGCTCTGCTGCAGCACCACTAACTCACTGAACAATTAGCTTTTCAGGAACAGCAGCCCCACTACTTCTTGCCTTTAAGAGACTTAAAAAACCCCAAAAACAAAACAAAGGGGGAGGGGGGATGGTGCTAAAAGCTGCTGTTACTTCAGTGCTTTGCAGAAGTATCTGTCACAGGGGAAGACTATTCTCCAACATCATCCTCTGAGCTGGACCCACAAGGTACATATTTAGCTACTGGCAGGTACACAGCTTTGAACTAGACAACATGATGTAACAGCTATTTTAAAGTGTCATATGCTGTGGTCTCTGCCTCCTAGGGAAAGCTTCATCCTACTATCTTCTCTCATAATTGGAGAGGTGGCAGGGAGAGCTGCACAAGGTCTATCTAGCCTCTGTTGACAGACTCCAGATCTTTTCTCCATACAGCACTCATACAAGTAAACCTTATTCCACTGGGACATTAAAAGTCATTTCAATGGCAACCTAAACTGGATTCAAGCCTCTGAGATTTCATTAGTCGCTCCCTATTCCCCCCTCCCTCCCCTCCCACCTGCTGCCACAAACAAAACAAAAACTTTCAGCACATATTAATTGTACCTGAATGAGCTCAGACTGCTCAGTCAAAGCCTTCCTCTGTGCTTCCAGCGATGCCACCTGCTGCTGGTAAAGCAAGCGCTGCTTCTCCCAGTCAAGTGATTTTTGACGAAACTCCTGCAAGGACAGCAGGGGTGGCTGGGAGCAGTATGTCCATGACAATAAGGCCCCCTCCTAGTTCATATCCACGTTTGCTTTCTCTCTCCACCATATCCTCATGCACCTTCCCCCACAGCAGGGAAACCATTAGCCCGTCATTTGATGCACCAGCTCAGCAGTATAAAACCCCTCACATACTGTGCTTGCTGTATTTCTCTCCCTCCTGAGTTAAAACGTCAGTGTCAATTACTGCTGTTTACAAATGTTAAGTGCTAACAGATTCATGGCTAGTTTCATGGATCTGCTGTCAGAGGTTTAACAATTCAGACTGGCTTTAGCTTCCAAAACACACTGCTATTGAAATCACTCAGATGACAAGTATGAACTACAGAATTTTAATGCTAATCTCTGCTCCAGAAATTGGACACTACATCAGTCAGATGTGTTTGTTAGCCACATCTTCAGGGTACAGTAGAAGAAAATTGAGTGTGGTTGAGCTCAGCATAGCAGAAAGATTAAACGATGAGACAGGGTTGAGAAAGTCTGACGTGTAGCTCCCTCCTCCTCAACGAAGTGAGATGACAACTTCACCACACTGAATTCATTCCATTCACATAATTAATTACTCTTCCAGCACCTTCTTCCTTTCATTTAGCCTAAGAATAAGAACAGCAGCATAGCTTCTCCTGTGTACTCAGAGACCCCAAGACAGGAAACTGCTTTTATTACACAAGCAGCCAAGAAGAGCTACACCTGGAGACTAGAAGGAGAGTACTTTTTAAGCGGGATTCATAGTCCACTCCCTACTAGACTATGCAGTCACCAGTGAAGCCCAGAAAGTCAGTTAATATATACAAACTATGGTTAGCACTTGCTTTTTCACTACATACCTCCAGTTTCCTGGTCAGACGGCTCATTTCAAACTGGTCCTCCCCTTGTCTCTTGTTATCTTCTCCTCTAGCTTCTCTTAGTTGTTTCTTCTGCAGCTTCTCATAGCTCCTCCTCAGCCTGGACAACTGCAAGGAATACAGTGAAAGAGACAACTTTGTTCAAGGCCCCAAGGCAAGAATTAAACAGCACTTTGAAAAGAAGCACACAAAATGGCTTCACACAAACAATTCCCCTAATCAAGACCACACAGCTTGCAAGCAAAGACTTCTATTTGTATAATGAGCCTATTATATGAACAGGATTGCAAAATATGCCAAGTCGTATACGAGTAGCAAGATGCCACTGAAGTCATGACATCAGCAGCTCTAATTAGACCTCTGTCTTACCACTATTAAAACATGACTAAAATATTGATAAGATGGAGGCTTACATGTAGTTGTTAATGAAGCAAGAGCATGGTACCTCTCTCTACAGGTGGCTCCCAGCCACAGTAATAGCAGGCAGTACCTGTGGTTGATCTCCTCACACAGAGGGGCACATCACACCACACATGGGGTGGCGGGTAGTTCTACAGAATTTCTTATGTGATTAAAATACACTTGTGAAGCTCAGGTGGGAACTGGAACTCTTCCGCTTAGTGGGAGAAGGAAGATTTGAGAATTGCCATTATACATAATATCAACACTACTTCATCTGTCATTTTCTGCTTAGATACACTATGTATTTCACAATGAGTGGAGAATGCCAACAGAAAATATCACTCCTACGCCTACTGCTAGAATGCTAAAGCCATAGCAGAAGCAGGAATGAGGAAAAAAACTCTTGACATTTAAATGACCCTCTGTGCAAATAATCACTTGCAACTTGCACGGAATTTTCCATCTGATGAGCTCCCCGCAACTCAACTATTAAATAAAAAGTTTCAAGTCACATGAATCTGAGAAGTCATTATTCCTGTTTTACTGATGGAGAAAGCTAAGCCCATGGATGAAGAGAAGGACTGTGAGAAGAAAAAACATCTGAATCAAGACCTCATACAGTGGTCACAAAAGGTTCTCCAAAGTCCTGTGTCCAGGCATGTTCAATGGGAATGGTTTAGAGTTTAACAGACGAGCATCTTTTACCAAACACATCAGAAGATTCCAAGTTTATTCTTTCAACAACCTCAGTGAGTTAGACACTGTACCTGTAATTTTACTGGTAATGGTGGTAAACCAAGACAGAAAGAATTTCCCCAAACAGTACTAAGAACAGATGACTGAGAAGTACTGGAGCTTAAGATCATCTACATTAATATTGTGTGGGTAAAATACCAACACATTGCAATTTTGGCCACAACACACACGCTGTATTTTCGCCTTAGCAATTTAGGCAGATCTGCCAATGCACCTCCGCTTTGCTTTGCAGCTTATCCACAATTCCAGTGGGAACATCTAGTGAATGAAGACCGTTAGTCATACTGAACAGTAAGGTGTTCTAAATGAGGACAGATGCCTTCTGTCGTCAAAGCAGAGACTACTAAATTAATTTAACTTACGGCTTACAGTGAGCATGAACTAGGCCCAATCCTACAGAGAAAACAGGTCAATGCTCTACTGGCTGTTCATGCCACTTAACTCGCTGCTACTGACAAGCAAGTGGAGTCAGGCAAAGAGTTAAGGCATAAACATGGAACGCTGTTTTACCACCTGCAGGACATTCCACACGTACCACCTTGCAGTGAGTAAGAAGCTTTTTGAGATGAAAGCTCTGAAATTATTTTCGAAAAATATTTTCTAAGTATATTTAGTTTTTATTAAGTGTATTAAGACTAATATGCCTTAAGAGAACAAAATCCTTACCAACAAACTCAGAGTCAATGGAGGCAAAAAGAAGATGAGACTACATACCATTCTCATTTCTTGATCTCATACGATCCAGGCCAGTTACACCACCACCCTTTTTTAATTTAATGACATGCTGAAAGAGCAAACTGCTGCTGCCTGTACCCATGGCAACTTCAGAATAAGCACTACTGTGACTGGAATGGGCAAACCCAGGACGTTTTTGCAGTAAACTTCTGCAGATGTCTAACACATGAAAACTGCAACAATACATCTACTCCACATTACTACTTCAGCAGTTTTCAGTGCGTCACCAAGTTCCTCCAAAGTGCAAAAAACAGGCCTAATGAAGCATAAAAATATTACTTTGTCTATGCTCAATGCTCTCTTTTGTAAGAACATGAACATTAAAAGAATGGGAAGCTTTAAAACCATTGTATTTAAACAAAAGCAATGACGCAAAGTATTCACTATCACATCATATATCAACTGGGAACTAAAAACCAATCTTCTCTTTTTGCAACTCACCTCTTCTTGAAATTTCTTCAGCTGTTGTTCATATTCTCTAACCATGTCCTGTTTGGCTTTTTCCATGTCTTCTACCTGGTGACGCAACATGCCAACCTGAATGAAGAATTCAAAAGCAAATAAATAAAACAATAGAAGTGGATTCTATTGTCAGTAGATACTACAATTAGTTTGCATTTCATAAATAGACATAGTAGGAGCAGGAAATCGCTATTAAAAGACCCTAATTCTATTAACAACTGCATATTATTTCAATGTGGCCACTCACTGTGAATCAGATTAAGTCTGTACCTAAATCTTTGGTAAGCTGAGGCCAGAACTGTTTCTGTTCTGGACTCTTGGTTTGAGCCACTTTCTGGTTTTCAGGCTTGGGGATAAAGATGACAGTTTGGGCTTGTGTCAAAAGGCTATTTCTGTCTGCTATTTTTAACAGTTCTTCATAAACATGCATTATGATTTCAAGCCATCTACCAAGAGAAAAGATGGCCATGTCATTATCTTACCATGCTTAGCTGAAGCAAAGATTCCAAACAGCACATGGAGGTGAGCGGGACAAAGAAAGAAACAGGGCTTTAAAACTGATGGGGAAGACTTCCCTTACATTGATTCAACTGCTCCCGTGACTCATGTTTTGGGTTTGTGGGGTTTTTTTCCCCCCATCTTTTTCCTATCCACAACCCAGAGTGGCCACCTTTCTAACTGCAGGTTCAAAGGACAGCAAGCCAATGAATTGAAAGAAATCACCACAGAAAATTCATATGAGTAAATCAAAAGCATAAGTATACTCCCGTAGCAACTTTAATCACAGTTTATAGTTTAGTTCTGAAATCAGTGTTCGCTTTTGGTGGTAAATATTTCACAAAAGTGTCTTGCAAAAACACAACCGATAATAAAGTATATGATAAAAATCATTGTTCTTGCAAATGGAAATCCTGTGGCATGACTCCAGATTTAGTAATTCTGTAAAAACATTCATTCCAAAACTTACCATGCAGACCAACAGGAACACTTGACCATATTAACAAGAACCTATAGAGTTCTTAACCCACTGTCACTGCAACCTGTCACATTTCTCTCTATTGTACTAGATTCCACATCAAATTACTAATAGCTACAGCAGTACTTGGGTAATTCTGAGGATGTAGTATACTTGTACAGGCACCCAAAAAACCCAATTGCTTGTGCAGTTATCTGCTGGCTTTCAACCCAAGAAATCAAAGCAACTTCATCAGAGAGCTGCCAAAACACGATTTGTAGCGATGAGTCTGCTGAAAGATAGGACACAGCAGCTATAAATATAAAGACAAATTTTAAACACTTTCAGAAAATGTCAATGTGGCTAGATCTTAAGATACAGCTACCCAGACTCCTGCTGGTTTCCTCTGATCAGTTCATTTGCACAAGTTTATGGTCCACATCCTATGCAAAAACTTCACTTACTGATACTTCTCCACTGATACAGTGATTTTTTTGCACTTCCCCCAGGCCTTTAATTAAAGCCTACAAAATCTGAGCTGCATAAAACAGCCCTTGGGGAACCTCCCAGCAATATCCTGGTGTAGTTTACACTACCAAATGTTTTTTCTACCAATGACTGCAGGTTGCTGGGCTGTCAATTACTGTTGTGTCCAGATTCAGCATCTCTGGGTTCTCTCTAGGAACTCTGACAATTCAATCTGTAGACTTCCACCAACCTTTAGGGAGCTGATCATCTGACTCTGGTTGAATTATGAAATGGACACCTTATTCCAACAGGCTCCTTTGTAAATACTATTCCTGACTTCCAACTATAAGACAGGCTCCTGTTTTGTTTAGCACAGTTATTTGCTAAAGTTAACCTCTTATTTTGGCTTAGCATTTAAATATTACAAAAAAATAAATCAACCTGAACTGATGAAACAATACCCAAAACACACATCCATGAAAGTCAAACTCTGAAATTCAGGTTCAGTCTTTATATTGTAAAACACACAGGTTGACACCAATCAGAAAACAGTATGAACCTGAGGTACCTCCTTATATTTTTCCTGCAGAGCAGCCCTGGCAGAGGAAAGTTCCTGCTCTCGAACACTCAGGCAAGCTTCCAAAGCCTGTGTCTGTCCTTCCCATTCAGATTTCTTGTGAGCCACCATAATGTCAATCTGCTTCATCAGCTCCTGCAGCTCAGCCTCACAGGAAGTCAAGAACCCACCACTGGAAGGGGAAGAGCTTGAAGTTACAAAGCAGACACCACCCAACAGAGGTCCAGTGTCCCATACCAACAAAGTCAGCAGAACAAGCTGACGTGCACCCAGGGACCAACTTTGCATATACAGTTCTTTGAACTCTATGCAAATTAGCTTGCAGAGAAATAAACTTAATATTCACATGTTCATCCCATTCTCTAATGCAGTATCTCATAAGTGGCATGTTTGTATCACTGGGCAGAGACCTAAATTTGGCAATGACCAGAACAGAATACTTGCAAAATCCCAGTAAGAACAAACTACTTCAAATGTCTGTGTGTAGAGAGAACGGTCCCAACCACCTATAAACACTTATCCCTTTGACTCAGTACTATACATTATCTAAGTAAACCAGAGTATGTTTTATCCATATTTTGTATTTATCTTAACTGCTCTCCAGTCAGAGGCATTTTATACCAAATTTCAGTCACCAGAGAAATCTTACAGCCAAGCTATCAGCTCCTGAAAACCGAAGTTTATCATAAATGCAGACAAACCCCCAAGTAGAGGGGGTTGGATGACAACATGATAATGAAGAATAAAACATTTGCAATCCAATGGGGAGAGAATGCTCCCTAGCGATGCTGCAATTTCTAATTTGGTGCAGCAATTATTGAAGCCAATTCAACTAAGTCCTCTAAAACTTCACAAGCTGCTAAACCAGGGACAATATTAAGGCTTGCAGACACAGCCCTAGAGGGCAGCGCACTCCAAGATGATCTTTACCCTCTTAATTTGCCTGTCAAACAGGAAGCACTGAAAAGAAAGGGAAATCAATAGGTTAAGGGATTGAAATTTCTCTGTTCCCCCAGGACATATGCACACTTCACAACTTGGCAGTTTTTCTACAGGGAAAGAAATACTTCCTAAAGGAGCCAAAATCAGTTAAATTTGAAGTTCACCCTGTCCTGCGAGTTAACCAAAAAATTAGCAGCTATTACATAAAGAAAGAACATTTCCTTCACAGCATCTGCTAATATAAAGCTAAGTCTAAACTTGATTTCTTCAATCAGTTCTCTGTAGAAGATAAGGTATCAGGAAACTTGAGTCACATTCTCAAAGATGACTATGAAAATGGCATCAGTGACTTTTGCTTCACACTTGTTTAACACATAAAACATTTTTTTCCATTATTGGCACTACAGTCTCTCTTGAGTACCCAAAAGTCTAGATACTAAGACAAAGCATTAAGGATTCTTCAGAGACGAATGGGACTCGGCTGTTTCAATACAAGCAGGAAATAATCAGATGTTTTCAATAAAAACAGATAACTAAGTCATGTCTCATTAACCTTGCAAAGCTGTTACAAACTAAGTATTTATTCACACTTTTAATTACTATTGCTCCTGATGTTAAGACAAAAAAAAAAAAAAAACACATAAGATTTTCAGGAAGATTTAAAACTAAATTTTTGCATTTTATCTCAATCAGTGGCTTTGCTTCTGCACCAGCTGAAGGCCACTGCACATTGTATTTGTCCACCAGCATGCACTAGCAGTCAAACTCCAATGCCCTTATTTAAGCAACAGAAGCTTCGTCTGATACCAGAGGATTTGATTCTGAATAAGAGGGAAGATTAATACTTAAACAATCTTGAATGACGGGTATATACTGTTGCATACATACCTCCCCTGCCCATTTCTCTGCATTCCTTCCAGCAAAGCCTCCATTGCCAAATCCTTTTGGGTTCAGCAGCTAGGAAAGTACACAAAAGCAGCAGTCACTCATGGCAATGTATGAACAAGGCTACTTCTCCATCCAACTGCAAAACAAGCAGAAGTCCACAGAGGAAAGAAGTTAAAAAAAATTAGCACACAATTACAGGTGAGGAAAACAATGGTCGCCTTCATGAGCTTACAAGTCAAATATCTGCCGAATAAAGGCAAACAGATTTTTCTACAAAAAAAAGACCCAGCACAACCATTCATCATTATCAAATTGTATTTATATAATCATGTGACCTAATATATGGAATAACTCAAACAACATTGAAAGAGAATCTGAACTTCAGCAAACAGGCAAACTCAACACACTGGGAGCTGCAGATCTCATGTCTCCTGAGTGCACCAAACTGTGGAGGATCAGCGACACACAGGGACTTCCAAATGGGCCAGCCCAAGATCCACCTCTGACAGGGACATTTGTCACTTCAGAGAAAAACTATAAGCACCTTGTAGCAAGCAGCAGTAAGAATCCATCCAAAAATTAGATCTCTAACAAGTCCCTATTACAGACTAAGTTAAAGAGATCACACAGTTTACAAACGCATTCAGGACATGTTGCTAGTTCATACAGTTGTGAGAATTTTAAGATGGGACTAACTCTTCAAAAACTCCCCTGATGCCTTAAGATATGGAAATAAGTTGCACAAATTTACAGTACCAGTACACTTAGTTAAAAATTACATCCTTTAAGTCATGAGCACAGGTATGTATGTATGCATACACAGAGAAGTATTTATGAAACAAGAAAGGTTTACATTAAAGGCAAAAAGGGGAATTAAAAAAAAAGTTACCATGGAACACCCAAAAAGCTAGAATTTATTTCAGTGGCTCCTCCATGAAACTGTGGCTCTCTAACAGAAAAATGGTTAAACTCATCCTGAGGATACAAAAACTACACTTTAGTTTCACTCTGTGGAGGTATTCACACAATCTTCTGTTTCCAAAACATCTATGCACTTTCTCAAGTAGTTAGAGATGAAACCTCCCAGCAAAAGTTAATATGGCATTAGTAAGCAATCAACAAAAGTGGGAGTAGGTCACAAAAAGTGAGACTCTCAGAAATGCAAACTCATATTAGCTCTTTCACTTTCATCAGAGCTTCTATCCTGCTCCTACAGCATTTTAAAACACCATCCAGAGATTAAAGCCTGTCCCTGGAGTTCAGCTGTATTTTAAACCACACACAGAGAACATACGTATTTCACTGAGAGAAGAAAAAAAAAAAATTCCTATCCCTATTCTGATACGGTGTTTTGTCTCTCTTTGGTCCTGCCTGTGCTTAGCAAAATTCAATCAGCATGCAGAACACCTTTGTTGTACTGCTGATGGCAGAGCTGCTGAGGAGAGCAGACAAGCAGATCCCCAGAGCTGCTGACAGAACTCCAAGAGTTCTCCAAGCGGCAACAACGGACATGAGCCTGTAGCGGCTCTTCTGTTTCATCCTAATCACACCTACACAGAATCGATTTTCAGTGGGTAGCAGAGAGATTTCATTGTTCACCACAGAGAACTGATAAAATTCAGAAAAAAAATCTGGAGCAGAATCCAGGTCCTTTATCAGCAGCTCCTTTCGTGAGAGGTTGGGATCAGTTCAACACTGAAAGCGCTGAGCCACGAGGGGCCAAGCAGCATCCTCTCTTGCCTCTGTCAGACTTTAAGCAGGGCCCTCAAGGTGAGACAGCCGGATCTGCCAGCTTTGCATACTTGCCAGCTTACCCACCTTTGGGGAAAGAGTCATGAAATCAGAAACCTCTAGCCAGTTTTATATCACATCAGGTTTGTTGACTTCCTATTATATTTTGACTCCTCAAGCTTGCAAGTTAAAATGTGCAAGTTAGAGTCAACTGCATATAAAGACCCACACAGATACCAGGAGAGGAAACAATCTCTGTCATTAACTACAGCTGAAGCAACAAGAGCTGGCCTGTCACTTCTGAAATTGAAGGAAAAGGAGGTATTTGTGGAAAAGATAAAACGTCTAAAAATCAACAAGATTTAGCATCCCAACTCATTAAATAATTGTAGCAGTAAAGTGGAGAAAATCTGACCACACACATGATTTAAGAATACTGCCCATGAGAAAAGATCAGGATTATCTGGCATTTAAAAAACACAGTAGGGTGCAATTTTGAAGTGTCGCTGGAAGTAAGGTAACAATGAACAGGAAAGCACGACCCGTGCTGCACCGAGCGCTCTCCAGAAGCGCCGGTAAGGCCGGGCTGGGCTCGCCAGCCCCTGGCAACGCCACCGCCGGCTGCTGTGAGGCCGGGCAGGACCCGGGAGCAACCACCCCGCCGCAGCCTCACCAGGGCAAGAAGCCACCCGGGCCAGCGTCCCCTCCGCAGAGCCACCGAACAGCCTCCGGAACACGCGCCCTCCTCCTGCCGGGCTTTAACTCCTCCCCGGCACCGGAGGGCCGCTGCCGGTGTTCCGCACGCCCCCTCCTCACCAGCCCCGCTCCCCGGGGATAAGGCCCCGACCCACCCCCGGGGCCGACCTGCGCTCCGGGCTCCCCGCGCCGGCCCGGCCGCTGCTCTGACC